AACTGTAACCTGTGTAATTTTTTTTTTTTACTTTAGTTAGGACTAAACTTTACTGTACTTAATATTATCGATAAATAAACTTATAATGTTATTCTATGACCTAACGTCAAACCTTTTTAAAAACTTTGATAAGTTTTAAATATTCTGTTGTTCAAAATGGTTGGTAAAGTATACTTACATTCCCCATTTGTTGTTACTTCTTGTTTCATACAGCAATAGTAGCGACTTGATCACTGAGCTTTGCAGCTCTCTGCTGCAGGCAGACTGTTTGTCATCGAGTGAATAATGCGCATGCACAGTTTTTCCAGGGGAACATTCTAACTATGCATGCTTATGCAGCAGGTTCTTGGTCAGAAGGTGTAACAGTCGTACATACTAACAAGCAGAATAATAGTATAGATACTCAACAATTTTTAAAGATATTGATCATTGAAGAGAATTATTATTATCAAATTTCTAGGTCCACTGTATGATTCCACTCCTAAAATGAAGTTAATAGTAATGTATCTAATCAACAGGATTTACAAAAAGATTGCTTCATCTATTGCTTGTCTCTGAAAATAGCTTCACTAAATTGGACTGGATCTGTCATCAAGGAAGAAATTTCTGACAGCTGTAAACAGAAGGTTACGGTTCAAATGGAAAATGATCAGGGTTAAAGTTAAAATGGGAAACAACCTGTGTCTCAGATGAATGTTTCTAAATAGTTTGAAGGAAATCAAACAACACTTGGGTGAATGATTAATGTGCAGGACATGTGGAACTGAGATTCTGTGGTTCACATCTCACTACTGCCTATAGGAAAATTCTGATCAATATTTTGGGGTTGTGAATACATTATAAAATTGACAGTCAAGTACCACTACATGATCTGACAACATTAGCAGTGGGTGGTGTTGACTTGCTACCTTCCCTCTAGTCTGTCGCTTCAAAGTTAGGTATGGCTAGCACAGATAATTTTTATGTAGATTTGCATAAAATCCAACAGACAATATTATGTTATTGGAATAACTGAGTGTCATCTAGTGACCAGTCTTATGTTTCATGCACATTTTTAAAGTCTTCAGTTTATTTTTGTTACTCAAGCTATTGTCATTAGTATGCATAAATAACATGCGAAACTGGAGTGTTTGAAGAAAATTCAAGAATGTAAATTATATTATTTTTGATGAAGTTCCAATTTAGCAACTTAAACTGATATTTTTCCTTATCGTAGTTAGAAACTGATAACCATAATTAATCACCAGCTTATTTATATATATATATATATTATCTTTACTTTTATTGGGAGACCAACAAAATATCATTACATTACGATTAACTGGAAGCCCATTTGATGTATAAATAGTGATTTAATAATCATTGTTATTAACAGTTTGAGATACAAATCATTCTGTAATGTCTATTATAGTTAAAAATGTACTCTATTAGTAATTTAGCTTAGTAGTTTGTAGGTATTATCATCTTTTTGAGACCACCATACTTGTCTAAATCCATGTTTTTATCATGGTTTATTTTTCAATAGCACTGAAAATTATTGTTTTTGTGATGAGAGAATACAACTTCATTAACTCAGTAAGGTTATATATATATATATATCACATAGTCTTATGATAATCTGATTTTTCACTGGACAACTTTTGGGTTTTAAAAAGATGTTGGAACTGTTTGAACAGTTTCATATAGGATTTTTGGAAATTTCTGCAATGGATACTTCTATCAGTACAGATAAGTCTTCTGTACAGAAAGAGCAGTATTTGAAAGAATACATAATAATTTCAGTGATTATGATGTCATTTGAACTGTCTGAAGAAAAAGGTATGTCAAAATGTTTCAGCTGTTTTAAAAATTCAGGCTTTACTGTGTTCCAGTATATAAATAAAAATATTTAATCTGGATACTTGTTAAAATCTGTAAAAAACATTTTTATATTTTAGCACAACTGATATGAAAAGAAATATTATAAGTTCATTAAATTTCTTTGCAAAATAATTGTATGTGTCAGGATTCAGCAACCCATGGCTCATGAGCCATGCACCACTTTTTGTTGTTACATGTGGCTCTTTATAAATACTTTCCCAAAAAATAGAAAGTGTAAATTCTTGTATGTCAAAATCAGAACAAATTATAGACTCAATTAGGCATACAGATGGAATGATAATATCAGATTTGCTTTATTTCTTTGAAAGGTTTTTTTATCTTTCTTAAATAAAAAAACAGGATACATTTGCACTTCACATCTCCTTCCATTTTACATTCAAATTCCAAAGTCTTTATTGCTGACACAACAATTGTTAACCAATTAGAATTTAAATGTGAAATGTAAGTGGATGTGCAGAGACCTCATTAGGTGGTTGTAAGTGTAATGTAATGTTAGGCTGGAGGTTAGGGCATTTTGCTGTGGCTCTCAAAATGTTTTTATCTTAGACAAAAACAAATTATCTATCTGAACTTGGCAGTAATAAGGTTTTAAATTAAACAAGCCTCAAAGGGGGCTTATTTGACAACTAGGGGTGCTCAGAAACAGTCATTCCTCTTCAGCTCCACACTCAAAATTAAGGTTTTAGTCCCAATGGGGAATGAAAGATATTAAGAGCTGCACAGCTGATATGATACATACCGATTAGCCTTTAAAATTATTTTAAAGTATATATTTATTGACAAAAACAAAAAAATGACTCTTCTTTTTTAAACGGTTTCTGACTCCAAGTGTACGTACTTTTCTTAATAAATTTTCTGGTGTTATTATATTAAATAATTTTTACTTCAATAATTTTTATATTTGAACTATACAAATAGGTACCAACTGGTTTGTTTATTCCAAGTTTGGTCATGGGTGCCATAATGGGTCGAATGGTAGGAATTGGTATGGAACAACTAGCATAGTAAGTATAACATCCACTTTTGTTTTTGTTTTCTCAATTTTTCCTATACAGTGTGAAATTAGTTGTAAAACAGTATTATAAGACTTTTTAGAAAACAAAAGCCTTGTTTGAAAGATTTCTTGGGTTTAGTAAACAGTCTTCTACCAGTTTTAATGTAACTCTTCATTAATGTTTCTTTTTTCTCATTTATTTCATCTAGCCTTATTGAATTAATAACACAATGTAATAATGATGTTATGTCATGGTTAAAAACCAGGCTGTTGGTTGGAAGTATTGGTGAAATTTACTTTCACTCATACACACTTATTCATTTTTAATTTAGTTACAACTTTTATAAATTATGCAGTTCTAACACTTAAATATAACTAAATATGTCATTGCTTTGATAGGGCTACTCACCAAATGTTTCTCCTTGATAAACTTGGTCTTATAAGCTGTATGCAAGGAATTTAGAAATTTTAAAGAAAAATATCCACTTCTAAATGGGTACTGCGAGGGAAATTTTAATAGATTTCTGATTGCTTATAAGTCCACAGTACCTATTTAAGGGTAGGATTTTTTTTACAAATTTCTACATTCCTTGCATATAGTTTATTTTTTTATTTATATACTATGCTGCTTTTAAAGAATTTGCTACTGGTCTGGATATTGTTAAGTTTCAACTATATGAAAACTAAACTTTTAATTCCTAATGTAAATATTTCTAGAATAATAAAAGAAACATGGAAGAGGCTCCTTATTGTTTTGTTTTTTTTTTACTTTGAGCTCAGGTTAAGCTTTAAAACATAGTTGCTAAGTAATAAATTTGTCAGAATTTTTGTATGAAAACACTGAATCGGTAGCCACTAAGTAATACACTAGACTGTGTCAAAACATTTGGCAGGTTTTATATCTTTAGTTTTCAAGAAATTATTTTAATCTTAGTTTTGTCTTGTGTGTCACTAAAGAAGGTTTTTAATGTTATTCATCCAGATCTTTTAACTGTGAATCAGTATCCAATTTTTCAATGCAAAATCAATGCTTGAATACAGTAAATTTCTTTGTGATCATTAGATGATTAAAACAACAGGGTGATTATTTTTGATATTCCAACATTTGTTTTGTAGAAAATTAAACATCTTTTATTAAACCTTTTCTGTTTCAACAGTTTTTACAGAGAAAAATATAATCCCTTAGAAATGCAACTAATTATTTAGTTGAAAGGTTTAGTCTGAAATATATAACTAACTCAGCCTAATTTTTGGTTATTGTGGTTTCCTGGTTACTCATGAAAATTCCTCTTAACTACACAATAGGAAGTGGCAGGTGTAGAAGATCTCAAACACTGAAAAAATTAAAATCTATTAAAGCTTCTTTATTTTGTATTTTCAATATAAGTAATTAAAAGAATTAATTTAAAATGTTAACTGTTATAATAATGGCATATTTAAATTTGCAAGATGATAAAGTACAAAATAAAATAAAAACAGAGGTTTTATGACGATTATAAATTTTTAGTCCTGTAATCTTGTAATTTTCATTTAATTAGATGTTTCCATTTTACTACGTGTATTTATCTTTGTATCATAATTTTCTTTTTTATTATTACAAGTTATGAAACCTCAAAATGTTTGCAGATGAATTTTTTTTGTATGTCATTTGGATGTGTGATTTGAAATTAGTTCTCTGTGTTTCTGTATAATAACAGCCATTACCCTCATCTATGGGTATTTCAAGGAGCATGCTCCACTGGTGAAAATTGCTTGTCTCCTGGGCTGTATGCCATGGTAGGTGCTGCAGCATGTCTTGGAGGAGTCACAAGAATGACAGGTATAATATAGTCACTTGATGTGTATGAATAAGAAGTAGCTTATATTATTTGAAAATTTATTTTTAAAAAGTTACATATTCTTTCCTAGTTTGTTATAGTTCAAAAAAGTGTATACAATTCAAGCTTACT